GCTAAAAATATTATAAATAAATAAAAACCCCAAACCTACACAGAATGATGGAGGGGGTGGGCTAGTATGTGAAAGGGAAACAGGTACCAATTGAAATTTCCCAATAGCCAAAGCTTGAGCAATTTGAGCAGCAAAATAAAGTAGTATAACATAGTGCAAAATGTAAAATAAATACCCATGAGTCTGTATGTATAAGCAAATAAATGGGGTGATGAGACAAATCATCCATGTAGAAGAAGTCTAGGCTTATGGAGGTACTCTGTCCTCAAAGAGGTGGAGCATGACTCTCCCCTCCTTCAGTGTCGGTGACTTTATTCAAGTGTGTGGAAAGGGGGCCTGAATTACTTTGCTGGGGCTGCCATAGGAAAGTACCATAGACTGTGTGGCTTAAACAAAAGAAGTTTATTTTCTCACAATCCTGGAGGCCTGGAACAAAAAAGGACACTGGGTAAAAACTAAGGAAACCTGAATAAAATGCAGGTGTTTGTGATTTCCAGGTGTCTTAACCTATTTAGGCTGCTATAACAAAATAGCAAAAATTACTGGGTAGCTTTTAAACAATAGAAATTTATTTCTCATAGTTATAGAGGCTAGAAAGTCTGAGATAAAAGTGCCAGCACATTCAGTATATGGTGAGAGCTGACTTCCTCATACGTGGCTGTCTTTTCATTATATCCTTACATGGCAGAAGGGGTGTGGGATCTGTCATTTTCACTACTGAGGGACTTCCACCATTACCACATGGAAGGGAGACGTGTGTCAGCAGTTATTGGGGGCAGAGAATGAGAGTGGCTAATAAGCATTTGCAGCTAAGTAATTCAGGAAGATAAAGGCAATATAAAGCAGGCAAATGCTGTGGATTTGAGCAGACAGTGTTTCAAGATCTAGAACAAACAACTGCTAGAAGAAGCTAGGCTTAGAGATGCAGAGGCTGCTCCAATAGCAGGTGGTCAGCACACAGGCTAGAAGACTGGGAACAAAAGGCCAGAGCTCAGAGATATTTTAGGAAACACAAGATTAGAATCTAGAATTAGAGTAATAGGTACTGGGAATAAAAATAATTGTACCTTTTGAGTTAAGTACGATCCTTTTTATCCTCCTTGCCTGGGGAGCCTTAAAGTGGGGCTAGGCCTAAGCTCCCAAGTGAGAGGAAGCTAGGATAACTGACTGGAACTAGGGAAGTGCAGGGGTGGGCATTCAGGCATACCTGATGTCTGCCTTCCAAATTTCAAGGCTTTTAGGTCAGTTTTTGTCCATTCTTCACTCTGCCTTTTCTGCTTCATAGCCTCGTTCCCCCGGCTGTTCCTTTACGTATCTTTTCAACGATAAATGACTCCCTCCCCAGCCAGGGTTGCAAAGACTTAGTGACTGAACACATACACACACCCACACATGCACCCCAGTCCATATCATCTTTTGGATCTTTTAATTAACTGTATGAGGTTCCCACCCAAAGGTCACCTATGCCTATGCATAGTCCTCTGAAACATTAAATATTAGGGTATGTAATTGCCAACAAAAGTACTGTACTCTGCCTCTAGAGCTGGACCAGTGTTACAGAATTAGAATCACTACTTTATGTGACCTTGCAGCATAGGCTGCCCCTTCCCTTACCCCTTCAGCCACTTCTTCCAGTGAGCTCCCCCAGGCCAGGGGCTATATTTCATTCATCTCTGTCTTTATGGTCTTCAGGGCTATTGCATGACAGGCCCTTAATAGATTTTTTTTTTTTCATTTTGAAAAAAAGCAATGACCACCCAACTAAAAAATGCTGTTTAGTTTTCCCCTCTCTTCTCTATTTAGTTTTTCTTCATTGCACATGGTTATCTGTTGAATTGTGCCCCCTAAAAGATGTTGAAGTCCTCACCCCTACAACCTGTGAATGAGACTTTTATTTGGAAATAGGGTCTGTGCAGATGATCAAGATGAAGGCACTAGTGTAGACTCTAATCCAGTATGATCATGTCCTTAGAAAAGGGGGAGATTTAGACAGAGGCACGTATGCACACAAAATACCACAAGAAGATGAAGACAAAGATTGATGCAGCAGAAGCCAAGGAATGCCAAAGATTGCTAGGATGCCAAACCTTTAGGATGTAGGAGACAGGCATGGAACAGTCTCCCTTCCAGATCTCAAAAGGAACTAACGCTGCCAACACCTTGTTCTGAGACTTCTAGCCTCCAGCTCACACCGTACATTTCTGTCTAAAACATCCAGGTTATGGTGCTTTAATATGGCTCTAGCAAACTAATACACTTATCACCTTCACTTTCTAACTTTATAATTATCTGTCTTCCTGACTAAAATGTAAGCTCCATGGGGTCAGGGATTTTATTTGTTTTGCTTACTTTTTTTGCCCCCTAGGCACGTGGGATCTTAGTTTTCCAACCAGGGATCAAATCTGCACCCCCTGCATTGGAAGTAAGGAGTCTTAACCACTGTATATTGTACCAGAAAATATTCTACATGCTAAGGTTTCCAGGGAAGTCTCTGTTTTGTTTACCTTAGAAACCTTAGCATGTAGAATATTTTCTGGTACAGTGTAGGTCTCAGTGTCTGTTGAAACAAATACTTTGGAGGAAAGAGATTTTTCACAATAACTTGGACACTTCATTTGGAAAACAATCTACATAAAATATTTCCCCCTTATAAAGTAATAATTAAAATAGCATATAAAATGTACTCTGCTTACTTCTTTGGGAGGGGGAAAACTTAAACCCTCATAAGTTGTTCCTACTTCTGGTTTGCCCTATTCATTGATGGCAGAGTGCTTGGGACTATGAACATACATGGTTAAGGCAGGGAGGTCAGCCATAAGGGCTTCCTGATTGCTTATTCCAACTTTTAAGTCTATTCTTCTGAATGAATTAATATAAGGTCCAGGGCAGAAAACCCTTCTCTTCCTCATCCTCATTACCTTCCTCCTACAATGGGCCCAAATATTTGACTGGTTCAACACCTGTGTTCAGGAATTACAAGAACGTAATTCTAGTTTCTTTAGGGGAAACACAAAACAAAATAACCAAAAAACTTCACTGACACCTATAACACTTACTTTTTTAGTTTCTTTCAGTTTAGGGGAAGAAAAATTTTTCCTCCACTCTCCAGGGGTCCCTGGCTGGGTCTGAAAATTAAACTGACAAAAATACATTAATGCAAGAAAATCATTCTGATTCATATTGCTTTACATGATACAAGAGCCTTCATAAGGAAATGAACACCCACATAAGTGACAAAACTTACTAGCTTTTATATTGGGTTGAACAAAGAGAAGCAGTTGTGGGAAAGTGACTTGATGTGGGGAAGCTAAAGGAAGATAAGAATTATAACAAGGTCTGTATAGAATTCTCTTGCTTTCGATTTCTCGTCCTTGAAGATAAGAACGTTACTTTCCTTCTGGTACTAGGGAGGGTATCTTTCATATAGAAATTTCATTTTCTGCTCTTGAGAAAAAGAAGGAAGGTCAGTATTTTCCTTGTATTTGATGTATTTCAAGGTCCCCCAACTCAAAATAGCCATTATACCAAAGCAGCATATACCCTGAGGTGGTATACCCTGAACCCCTTCATCAGCACACTCCCTGGGAGGGAGGTTACTAGCTGCAGGGTGAGAAAACAGAGTGGTTACCCCCTTATACAAGGCGTGGAGAGTCTGCAAGGGGCAGAATTCAAACCTCTTAAATCTCAATCCAGTGCCCTTCCTGCTATACTGCTCATAGCTGCACAGATTTTCTCTTTTTTGAAGAAAGGGTGGGAGCCAAAGATTTGGTTTCAGAACTGGAAGGTAGAATTCTGCAGGTCTCTGTAGTTATTAACTCTGGCAGTTCTGAGCAGACTGTGGACAGTGAGTAAGGGAGGCCTGGCTCCAAGTGTCCCCCCGTCACTGATCTTCCTTCACATACCCATGCAGGATACACACCACCACCAAGGGCACCAGCCTTGAGAGATGCTCCTGATAGAAATCCCAGAGCCCCAGGACTGACCCTAGGCACCACTTAAGAGTTCAAAGAAACGAGGGAAGACGGCCACGCTAAAAAGACGTTGGGATGAAAAAAAACGGAGATTAGCCAAACCGGAATGAAAGTGTGGCTGGGTAGGAGGTAGGGGGTGAAGACGGCATGGGGGTGGAGTGGAAGGATCACATTCTTGTGCTTGAAGTGCAAGGACAACAGCGACTAGATAGAGAAAGAGGCTGGGACCGAAGGGTTCTGGACCGCTATGCAGGCGCAGGCCTAGGAGCAGAGGCTTGAGGGCTGCCCCATGGCGGCATCTTGGTACCAGGCGCACTTAAATTTTCTGTAGTTAAAAAAAAAAAAAAAAAACCCTATGCTTTGGTTTCACGAAACGACCCTGTGGCAGATGCTGAAGTGGTCGGGGTGACAATGGTGATTATTTCTCTCAGATTCCCAGTTCTTGCTCACTCCCAGACCTCTAAGGCTAACAAAGCTCTTCTGGAATTCTAGGTTATTCTGTGACCTTCCAAGAAGCCTCTCCCCAAATTCCTTTCTCTACAAATTCTGGGAAGCACAGAAGAAGCAGCCTGCAGCCTCGCGATCAGTTACCTGGCCACCCTCAGTGACACAGCTATCGCTTCCCCTCTCGGGGGCTGGGCTATTCTGCACCTTCCAGTGCTTGCTTGGGGTCGGGGGCATCCGGGAGGCGACGCGCCCCCGGGAAGGTTGTGCGAGGAGCGGGTGTCCTGAGGCGGGCTTCTGGGCTCGGCAGCGCGGGAGGAGGCGGCGGCGACGCTGGCTGGCAGGCAGATGATGCTCGGGACCCGCAGCCGTTGGGAGGCAGCGTGAGCCCGAGAGAACCCGAAGCCGCCGCGGTGGCAGCAGCGCCGGAGCGCAGCCTCCTCCCGTTCCCATAATGCACAGGGAGGCGGCGGCGGCACCATCACCGGCCGCCGGGGTGGCTGTGGCGGCGAACAGCTGCTGCCGGGGCGCTTCCTAGTCCGCGCGGGCGGCCGCCCAGGCGAGGTGCGGCCTCCGCACAGGCGGGGGGCGTCGGCGCCGAGGGGCCCGCCATGGCCGCGTCCGAGCTCTACACAAAGGTAAGGCGCCCGGCGAGCCGCGCCGTGGGGAGGGGGCCGCGCTCCCCGCCGCGGTCGGCTGTCAGGCCAGGGAGGGGCCGGGGCGCGGGGGCCCGGTGCAGCCCCGCCGGCACCACCCCCTTTCCGAGCCTTTCAAAATCCCGGTCCCTGCCCGTGGGTCGCCCGCAGGGGCGCCTTCCTCGCTCGGGCGTTGATGGTTAAGGCGGCGGGGGCAGCCTTGCCTCGGGGTGCCTCTCTGGTCCCTGCCACGCTTCTGGGCCGGGAGCAGCGCGGGTCTCTAAGTGGAAGGAGGGCCCCTGTGGATTTAGTAGGGCGGGCCTGGGTCAGGATTGCTCAGCTCTCAGTCTTGCTCTAGGAAAAATCCTGGCTGGTGGGAGATGCTAGATCTTGTAGATCTGGCAGATGCTAGATCAGTTCGGTCTCTCCCTTAGGGACATGCGCTTAAAATAACGCCTTGTGTTGGTATGCGGTGCCACTTCTACCGCCGGCCAACCTTTCTGTGCGATTTGGAATCCTGCAAACGGTCGCCAGTCAATTTTCACCTTTAGTTGCCGGGTTTCAGATTGCTTACCCTGGCGGGTGGAGAGCCCCTGGGGAAGATACGAATAAATGGAAGCTGATTTCACTGGGATGGTGGACACTCATTTGTCCCTGGGAATTTGCAATCTGCGTGTAATCCCTCAGAGCCTTGTTAGGCTCCATGTCTTCACCAGCCGCTGGGGCGAGCCTTCTTCTGGGTTTAGTTCAAGGGAAGTGGCAGCCTTTCCTTTCTTGTACTGACGTCAAAATTCTCTGGCGCTGCTGATCTCTGAATGGCATATTTTGGAGAACTTACCCATCAAGACAGTGTGTGGTGCCCTGTGTGACAGCGTGTAGTCATGGCATTTTATACTACCACTCCTGTGTAGGTCAGTGTTTGCCAGCTATTAATTACCTCTAATGCCAGTTAACAGAATTGCCTTAACTACTCAAGTTTGCATTTGTGTCTTGCATTTCAAGTCTACATTTATGGTCCCAGAATCATTGCTTCCAAATATGACCCAAGTAAGCCCAAGTTGCAGCATGTTATAGAAGGAAGAGGTCTGGACTTCCCCCGCCCCCCAATCCAGAGACCTTGACTCTAGTCTGGGCCTTTTCACTTACTGTGTGACCTTGGGCAAATCACTTAATCTCTCTGTACTTCAGTTTACTCATCTGTAAATGGAGTTAATTTTACCTGCCCTGCCTCTCACAAGGCTGTTGTGAGGATCAAACTTAATAGTAGATGGGATTGCTTTTTGTAAGCTGTGAATTTCTTTACAAGTATAAGGTATATTTCTTCAAGCATGAAGTGAATTTGCATGAAACATTTCCTGGGATCTCTTTGTTTCCAGCTGCAGATTTGAAAACTACATAATTGAAACTTCTCTCTAAACCTGGTCATTCTTAAGGCATTGTGGATTCTAACATATGATTGAATGCAATTGGAAATTGATCTGAATTTACTTCATTAAGAAACACTTATATAAAGTTAACTATGTGCCAGGTACTGTTTTAAGTGCTTTATACATATTAACTCATTTCTTAGAGGTAAATGCTAAGAAATATCAGTCATTTTCACAAGAAGAGATAGGGTCTATAAATATTCCTCAATTACTTTGTATAGACCCCATTCTTCACTGCCCGAGGAGTCTATCCTTCAGCTGCCTGCCTATTTGTAGCCTGCTTAACAAGACTGGTTGGATAATACATTTCTCTTGGATTTTGGATCTGTCTTCCCAACTCCCCCCCCCCCAACACACACACCCCCAAATAATTGGCAAGAAAGAAATTTAAAAGATCCTGGGATTTTTAAAATTGTAAGTTTTGGGGCTTTGGTTGTAGCATCATCACAATCTCTTAAAATTCACCCTCTAGTCATTGTAAAGACAAACTGGTTTAAGCGTCAATAAGGAAATTGAGCTTAATTGCCTTCTCCTAAATACATTTGTATCTAAAAATCTGGTCACTTGGCTTGTTGCCTTATTCTTTTTGTGAGTGGACCTTAGCTTAATGGCAGGCAGAACTATTTATTGAGCTCCTCCTGAATGCCAGGTACCCTGTGGAATGTTGAGGGGTTCTCAGATGAACAAAACACAGTCCTTTTCCTCAAAGGGCTCACAGCCTGCTTCTTTTTATTTTTGGCCCAATTTGAATTTCCAAGGGCATAAAAACCTGCTGTTGCCTCAGCAGCAGGCAGACGGATGGTATGATATTTATTTGTAGAAGTTAGGGAACAGGTTGGGACATGAGAAGGTTGGGATGATTCTAGAGGTAAAGGCTTGGGTAGTGATTATTAGAGGAAGAGGGAAATCATTAGATGTAGTATCAGTGGATAAACACAAGGATTTTTTCCTTGCAGAGGATTATAGGGAAGGAAGTTCTAGGGTAGTCTACAAAGAAAGACGTAATAGTGACATGCCATAATAATGATATTCAACATAAAGCAGTTAAATTTGAAAAGTGCCCTTTTAAAAGTGTCATTCAGAGCTTAAAGGCAGATTTAGATGTGTGACACAAATCAGTTCCTATTACAGTGAAAGACAAAAGATCATTCAGTTTATTCTTTTTAGCTAAATTGATAATAGTTTTGACACAGCAGTTTAGTAGGGCTTCCTTTCTGTAGATTTTTCCAGCAGTGTAAACATTTTCAAGGCAATAGCCTGGTTCCTAGGATACAACATTTCTGGAAGCTAACATTTTGATTAAAACATGTTTGTTGTTGGTTAAAATAACAGATTTATTGAGACAAAATTCACACACCATACAATTCACCAATTTAAAATGTACAGCTCAAGGATTTAGCATAACCACACAGTTGTGTGTTGATTTGTTTTTAGATCTACCTGACTTGTTCCTGTAAGAATTACAGGTGGCTGTGACATCTTAGGAGAAGGAAATGGAAACCCACTACAGTATTCTTGCCTGGAGAATCCCGTGGACAGGGGAGCCTGGTGGGCTGCTGTCCTTGGGATCGCACAGAGTCGGACACGACTGAAGCAACTTAGCATGCATGTATTGGAGAAGGAAATGGCAACCCACTCCAGTGTTCTTGCCTGGAGAATCCCAGGGACAGAGGAGCCTGGTGGGCTGCCGTCTATGGGGTCGCACAGAGTTGAACACGACTGATGTGACTTGGCAGCGGCAGCAGTGACATCTTATTATATCTGGTTTTGAAAATATTTGCTAGTCATGACTTGCCAGTGGATATCTGAATCATGACATAACCTGTAACTACTTTCAGCAACTTCAAAGGATTCAGCATTTGTGGAACAGGGTTTATTAATTAGACCTGAATGGATCACCAACGGCAATAAAATGGCATCCCAATCTTCTTCTCATGAGGTTCCCAGACTCCACAGGCAGCATATAAATGCTGTAGAACAGCCAGGATTACCTGAAGTTTAATTAGGAGCCCCATAGTTTGTCAGGATGCTGAATTTTCTAACAGTACAAAAGCTATCTAAACCTCCAACTTGAGAAGCCAAGTAAATTTCCTTAGGTGAAACACCGGTTAGGCCAATAGATTGTATATCCGTAATCTTCCTTTCCTATTATATTTCTTCATACCCACCGAATCCACACGGACTGGATGTTTTCTGGGATAGTTCCAATTTTATGTTCTATGCCATTGTCCCTTTAAGGCATCAATCCTGGAAACGCTAATATTTTGGTGTTGAAATTGCATTTCTCAGACTGCTTCCAACACTTTAAAGCAGAACAGAAATCTCTGATATTGTGCCCTGATTTGGGGCTTTGGCAAGTGCATTCACTTTCTAAAGTCTCCTGTCAGGCTCCTTCTGTTTGTATTTCTTCCTGATGTTCTCTGGCCTGTTAATGGTTGGAAACCTCTGTAGCCTTTTCTGTTGTCCAGTTCTCCGTCTCCTTTACTAATTCTAATTTCACTTGACATCCAGCTGACAGTTCTGTTTCAATGGCCTGACCTGTACACATTTTATCTTATTATAGTTATTTGTGTATATGTAAGCCACTCCCACAATACTGTTAACCCCCTGAGGTGCTGATCAGGTTTGTTTACCTCCTATAGAGCCTAGCACAATGTCTTCTACATAGTAGGTGCTCATTAAGTATTTGTTAGATGCATGAAAGACTATTTTAACAGGAGAGAAACAGAAAATAATGGTTTGGGATGATTAGTCCACTTGTAGGACAGAAACAGAGTATAAAGAAGTGGTTAAACAAGTCAGCACATTTTCAGGCATGTTGAACAGGGTGAGTAATAGAGAGGAGAGCTGGGCATCAAGAAGATCAAGGAAACTGTTGGAGGAAACAGAATGGAAAGTGATGGACATCTGCTAGACTGAGGTACAGGCAGAAGGTGTGAGAGCTCTCTGTGATGAAGCAGATTCGAGGTGGGAAGGAGAGGGAATAGTGTAAGTTAACACCAGTGGCTCTAGCTTTAGAAACTGGAAGTTAATTCTCATTGTATCATGAGATTTTGCTGACTCTGTGAAACTGGTAAGCTACTCAGAAACACTTTTTTTAGACTGCTTGAGCAATGCAGAATAGTCTTGATTTCCTCTTGAAATTTGTTACTGTTTCTTAAAGTGTGACAGTTTGATGTATTGCCCAGTGGCTAAAAGGTTACCAGAAAGTTACAATTTTAATGAGAGTTGCTACTGCTAGATAAATAGTTTATATCTTCCTGGTGCTTTTTGAAGTAGGGGGGCATTAGGGTGATCTGAATGGGGTCCCAGGGATTTAACTTCAGCTTCCAAAAGGTTGAGGTGAGGTGGAGGGGGATAACATTCCTATTGAGAGTGTGGAAGAGGAGGCAAAATTCATCAGGAGATTCTAGAGGCACATGGCCCACTGGAGGATGGATTGGCTTTGTTTGTCCCCACCTTAGGTAGTTCTTAACAAAGTATGAGGTATTATCAGAAGTATAAACTCCTGGCTGATCTGCGGAATAAGACCTGACCCTAGGTGAAATACCAAGTGGGCAGCCCCACTCCACTCTG